TGAATTGCCTAGTAGTGGGGGAGAACCTCCTCGGGAGCTTCTGTCTGAGCGTCTCCAGGGTATGGTACTCGTTTGTAGTAGGGGGCCTCAGGATCATCATAGGCCTCCTCGTAGGTCTCATCCCACGTCCACTTCAATAACGGCTTCTCGGTGAATGTATGGATAGGCGCTGAAATGACGATCAATAGCATTGCCATTGGGGAGCCTTGAGATACCGGACACAGAGCCTTACCAGGCCTATCAACCATCTCATCCGGATGGAAGGACATGTAGGGAATGACGGTACCTACATAGAGTGTAGCAAAGGGAAGGCACCCTTAGGCCTACCATCCCTCAGCCTGGTATGCATCTTGTTCAATTGGGAGTCCATTTGATGGAGAGCACGTCTGGCAAGATCGTCCTCCTCCCGGAAGCGCACGTAGCAGTTCCTGAACACGACCTGGAAGCCACCGAAGTCGAAGTGGCTGTGAACCGTCGCACCTTCCCAAGCAGAAGTTGGTCTCTTCTATAACCCAGTCGTCCTCTTGTGGAAGCAGTTCTGACTCCTGCACGGTTTGGCCTGAACAGAAATATGACGATTTCAGTACTGCATCAAAGGAAACGCAGATGGGACCTTCGTAGATGCTGAAAAGACGAGCACCCGCGGGTCTGAAGAGCCTCTGGATGAGCGTTCTCCTCGGGAAGGTGAGCATTGAAAACAAGGGAAGATATACAAGGAAATGACAACCAAGTTGCCCCCAAATTTCTCGCCGCGCCCCGAACAATCTCCTCGTGCTCCGAAAACAATGTTTTGCCTCAGATATTCTTGAGTGCCCCGAACCTATTCTTCCACTAGACCCACTCCAGAACATCTTCGAAAGCGTTCTTTGAGAGTCTAGTCGATAGTAGTAACGTGCATAGTATTATGTGCAGCATCATGGCTAGGCTCTCAGTCTTGTTTGAACTTCAAACTTCGAAGTCAAATTAATTCTGTGAAGTTCACAGTGTGAACTATAAAGTGGTGAATAGTTCACAGAAATTCGAGGTCAATGCCAATAATTGCTGAGCTTCAGTGTCCCGAATATCATATCTGTGGGTAGACTGGTAAATAACAAGGTATGCACCTATATTCTAGGAACTATAGAGTCACTCTATAGTTCCTCTTCTGCTCTGCCAGAGCAGAAGTCCCACATGTCACCGACATGATGTCAGATGCGGATCACTAATAGTGTTACACTGCCCGATGCATAGGAATATACGTTCGCTTGTTCATTATCCATCCTGCTCCTCTTCGCAGCAGCGAGAGCTCATCCGCTGCAAGTCCTGCCCTATTTGTCGCTAGAGCAACCGGGTTGCTGCAACCCGCGCCGCGCGCGCTCCTAGAGCGACGCTCTATGACGCGGACTATCGCGCCTACCAACCTGGTGATGACCTGAAACTTGTAAGGAAGGTGGTGCTCATAGACTGCAGTTCAAGCCTATGCTGGGTCGCCGTTGCAAGTGGAACTCAGGTAGGGCCCTAATGTAGGGCTGGTCTCAAATTGTGACTCTATCGCATTAGTTAGTGAGAAGGGCCTCTCCCGGATCCCCACTGTAGCGTCGTGGGGCTCAAGTGTGGTTCTTCCCAGTGACAACTCAGGATCATTTGAGGGTTCGGAGTCATTCATTAGGAAATAAGGATGATAATATCTGATACCGATATCATATGAATCAATAAGTTCGACCGAAAAGAATAATGGGCGATTGGCGAGGCTTCCAAAGCACAAGCAATGAGCAACCGGGCACGCATGGTCTGATCGATTGTATTCGGTGGACGATGACCCAAGCAGTCGTACGCACGTGAGAGCAGCTTCAGCACTGAGACCTTCCCAAGAGCGGAACGCTGTACCACCCATATAGATAGGCCTGTATGCCTGACGGTTACAGGCTGTAACTTACAGCGACCAATGAGCACTCTGATTGTCAGGCTAAGGAAATCGTCTGAGCGATTCATGAGGGGCAGACCTTGTCTGCAAATCGATGGTGTCCGCGTGCAGCCCTTGAAGGAAAAATTTTGCCCGACCAGGGATCGAACTCGGGGTTGAAATTCTACGCACTTGGATTTTGCGTAATATGAAGTGTTTCGCTCCGCCTCTGTCGAGCGAGATGAGAATTGTACTTGCCGTGAATTCTCATGCGTTCCTTTCAACATACCTGCCCATATCTTGCCATTTCCAGTATTTGTGGCTCACTCTTTCAATGACCAGCAAGCCACCAGCATCTGTCCCTGAGAAAGCCTCTACCCTTGCTACCGGTAAGGGTATACCTGGCATTGACCCGAAGCTTCCTACCCATACCCCTCCCGCTTCCTACGATGTTCTCTCTAGTGGTAAGGCCAGACCTGTACAAGTGGCCAAGTGGCCTCCGATGCCTGGTGGAGTCCCTCTCCCCAAGGGAGGCATCGGTGGGGTCTGGCGTGGAGCCTTTGAGGTCGCTTCTGCTTACACCGCTCTCAACCTAGAGAGGCAACGCTTCGCTAATATAATCAGGTGAGCACACGAGCAATAGTTTTCCCATACTATCATGCATGTTCCAGATTGGGGACTTTCTGCCGTGTGGTGATCTGGCCGGTTATTCCTCTCGTTGGTCTATTCCACTACATTCGTCAGCGTGACCGTGACTGGTACGCCTTAGAGTTGCTCAGGTCGAGGTGCAAGAGCGAAGGTAAGAGTACCATTCCCTCCCCATTCACTACAGTAGTTGATGATAGATTGTGCTGCCTTTTATGACTGGACGATGCCTGGATCCTCTGGTCACTGGAGAATGCAGAATGACCTTGAGATCATCCGTCGCGCTGCAAACGTCGAGGACTGAGTGAGTCGTTCAGTGTGCAAAGAATCCTCCTCGAATCCTCCATTTATCAGGTATTCACTCGCACAAGGAGGAGGCGGGAGCCTCCACTACACATGTATAACATTTACTCGTCAGTGACGTGACTGGTTGGGTATTTTTTCAAGAGTCAGCGATGGATAAGAAGTTTTCCGAGGTCGCTCTGATTAGTGTTGTGTTCACCGCCTCTTCTTCTTCTTCTTTTCAGCTTTGGTTGTTATATGACTTTCGTATGCGAAGACTCTGTAAACAAACTTTTCAGCACGTAAGCCTACATGGGTCACTCGACAATGCTATATTCAATTAACAAAAAATCATTGTACTAATGACAGTTATATACTACAATTGGCAGGTATAAAGCGTACATACGGTCCGAAGCTGCCGATCTTGAAGAAGAAGTTGCTAAAATAAGATCTGGCTTACGTGCCAAAAAACGAACAATTACTCTTAATAATAATCAGTGAGGAAGCGGAGCTAGCCGTCAGCGGTAGGAGTTGGGTTTAGGCCGTCCAGTACGACCCGGCCGCAACAGCGTCGACGGCGAAGCGAACGACGTAGGTTATTATGATGGACCGACTGAAGCATTCTGGATTTCAGGGTATCCTTCTCCTCGTGAGCATGATTATCATCAACGGTCAACGATGATTGCGCCTAAGGTGGCGCTTCCAACGGCTGCAGTGTTGGATGTTGACTACGGTACCATGTGGAAGTAGGAGAGAGAAATGAAACCGTCAATAATCAAGTTTGTCGGCCATTCAGGCAGCATGAACTAGCATGGGAGAAGTTCTCTTCAAACCCGCCCAAACGGCTCAAGTTCGTTGACGTACCGTGGCCTCCGTGCGACTCAGACATACTCGAATTCACCGAACAACGGAGTGCGGTCTTTAGCCGTACGCTGGGGAAATATCCGGAACGTTACTCAGTTCTCCTGTGGAAATCCAGCGAAGATGTCTTCCTTGATCGCGAGTCGAAGGATAGAGCGTCATATCGAGCTGCATGCAAAAGATGGCATCCAGACAAGTTCACGCAAGTGTAAGTTGCATTTGAGGAGAGCTGTGTATCAGGATCGTGGCAGGTACGGTAGGAGTATTGTCGACCCGAAAGAGTCCGAGCAAATCATGTACAAGTTGACTTTGATAATGCAAGCTATTAATGAGAGTTGGAAGCATAAGGCGACTAGAAGTCACATAAGAAAGGTGATCATCACTCGTGAGAAACACACTAATGTAAATATTTCTGTTCCGTTGGTTTTGGAGACTAGCTGCCATCAGTAGCAGCATAACTAGTCATGAAACCCTTTGAGACAATATGAAATGGTCGTTGTTTAATTCTCATCTGCAGAAAAAACATCCCTCCTAGACAGTAGTGATGATGTTCCCATAACAGGCTTGCATCGAAGAGGCTGCTCGTATCGCCCGTGGGAATGCACACCGAAGAGCTCGTTCCGGTTCATGAAATTATATGCAGTATTTTGATGTCCACAAGTTATGTTGTACGTTGCGTTCTGCAGAGTAATGTTGGACAGACGTGGGCGGTACATGAAAGTCGGAAAGTTGGATTTAGTATATTATCAGCTACCGAAAGCTTAGTTGTCATCGGCGAGAAGCGAAAGCTCATTGCATGATGTTTACACGCATGTTGTACACCTACTTCGGCTACCTCGCCGAGCTGATAGAGGGAACTCCCTCACCGCGTGATTTTCTAGTCGGTTTTCGCGGCGTTCGGTACTTCACAGACACGATTCGAATAGCTAGCTTGTGAGCACCCACTGGTCTATAAGGTCCTGTGAGAAATTTCACCAGGGTTTTTAGATGATGATGTGTACGAAGCGTCATGTGCCCCGAGTTTTCGGAGGAAGGGCTGTCTGCGTCGCAGCAGTGGTGCGACATCATTCTGTATGATAAATCATACGGAGTTTGTTCATCATCACTAAACTCCTAGCGCCACGTAAGCGGGCCTTCGTTTGAAGTTTAAGTCGGCTAAGAGAACGCAAAATTTTGACTTGACAGATTCATAGAACTTCGGTGTGTGTGAATGAGATTGAGTTCAAAGCCCAACGCCGACAACATGGCTTAGTTCGACTCGCTTAGATGCCACGTGCTCACGAGGGATCAATCCAACGTGATAAACTGGCTAGTTTATCACGCCAGGGAAGGTTGTCGACAGGGCAAGATAATCCCCATCAAGATACGCTCTTTCCTCCCGGCAGGATCTGCTTCTTCAACTGCGAAGCCAGTGCACGAAACACAAGCACTTGCAACAGCGTACCGACCACAAGCATCATCCCCGAGACTCTAATAGTTTTCGACGAAAACGGCATACCCTAGCATAAGCCATTCCCACCGGAAACAATAATTCGTGATGGCAGCCGCATATGCTACTAGTTGCGATTCCTCGTATCATGCGTCTGTCAGATTTCTGAACATTAGTTTCCCATGAAAGTTCGCCATAGCTGTGCATTGAATGACACTCATTG